TACTCTAAAAAAGCAATGCTGCTTTAAATGAAGCTGACCCTGGAGGGGTTTTCCACAAAAACCTTCCCAATTTGCTCATGCCAGAGGAGAAATACCCTGAATGATCTCAGTGATAACATAAATCATTCAAACACAGTAACATTTAATGGGATAATTGTTGTGAGAGCCAGGAGAGGGGTGCTGGAATTGCACTGGCTGCTCCCTGTGTGTTTCAAGAGCCCTCCAAGCCCTCACTGATTTCTGGAGAGTCCTGCGAGTGTCAGAGCCTGTTTTCATTAATGCTGCTCTAATTAAACACAGATTAAAAAAGCAACCTCAGCCTTGCAGCCTCTGCCATCCAGCAGGGATTCCACAGACCCCTTCCTTCCTTCCACTCCACTCCAACAAGGGCAATTTGCTGATGGAGCTTTAGTCCCTTAATCCACCCTTCTGGAGGAGGAAAAAGAAATCTTCAAAGCTTCACAGCCAGCTTGTCATGGCCGATTAATTAAAAGCAGCAATGCTGCAGAATGAACCCATCTCAGGCAGACAGGCCCTGAGTGTGTTTTGTGTTTGCTTCTCACCATTTAATACCTGATGAGGTGAAAATCCACACATCTGTGAGAGAGCTGAGCCTGGCAGCAAAACCTTGAGTCAAGTGAAGACACTGCTGCTTCCCCCAGGATCTGTGATTTCTGGGTGGAATGCTGACACTGGATATTCCCTTCTGGACAACCTGGCAGCTGCTCTTGCTTGGATTCCTTCTCTCAGGAGTGTCAGGCACTTTCACAGCTCTCAGACCTGCCTGACCTCTGCACTGGTTTCTCCTCATCCTTTCACTCTCTGGCTGCTCAAAACACAAGAGACAAATGAGGAGCTCAGCAGCATTCCCTGGAATTCCAGCCCTGCAGGAGGACTGCCCAACAGCAGAACTCGGAAGCAGTGAAGGAAATTTAGATAAATTTTGAGGAAGATTAAAATTCCCTGGCTTTGATATTGCCATGCTGGGGTTGTTCCTGCCAGATTTGCATATCTAATTAACAAGTGAGACACGAATTCAGAAGCAAACGTCAAACTCCTCTGACACTGAGGAGCAAGAACAAAATTAAAACAACAGAATATCCTGAGCTGGAAAGGATCCACAAGGATTAATTTTCGCGTCCAATCCCAGTTTTCCACAGTGGAGCAGATTTTTTTTGTCAGGAAATCAGGGAATTCTAGAAGCTGTGTGTGGCTCTCAGGGTGTGAGGATGTGTGGGATGAACAGCTCAGGCAACTTGTGGAACACCAAGAACCAGCTCAGGGCTGGCAACAGCTTCATTCCTGTCTCCCTGATCCACAGGGAATGAATTCAGTGCACCACAACCCAGACCTGGGAAGGTGCAAGCAGGAAATCTGCAAATTAACAGTGGGAAATGAGGAATATCCACAGCATCATTAATAAATCAGTTTAACACTTTCCGTCCCTGAGCCCTCTCTGGAACACACAGAGTGTACTGGTGATTTTTATTGATTTTTGTTAGGATTTATCAGCTTGAATTGAATAAATGTTCACAGAAGTGGCAGCAGGATGGAAAGAAAACCTGAGCCACTCACACCTGACACAGAGCACAGGATCCAAGGTTTAATTCTTTGCCATGTTCAATATTGACATTGTAACATATCAAATATGCAAATTCAGCACCTAACAATTGTCCCTCCACCCGCTACAGAAGGGGTAAAACCGGATTAGATGAGCTCAGAAGTGAGAGAATTCAAATTATTCCTGTGTTTTCACACAAATGCACAAGCTCCGTTTCCTGAACTTCCAATTTTTGTGTACCAAACATGGATGGATTTTGTGTTACGAGTTTTAAAGCATCAACAATCTAATCTCACAGATAAAAGAGATGCTCAAGCTTCTGAATCACCCAAGTAACCTGCAGCCTGGAAAGTCTTCAGCCAAATTTTTGGGGAACGTGAAATGAGCCAGGCTAAGGATGAACAGCCTGACCCCTCCTGCTCCAGTAAGAATTCCCTGGAGTGGATTCCCAGCTTTCATTTGTGGCAAACACCAGAGGCACTCCCGGTGCCCAAGAAAGAAGTCCTGCATACCAGCTGCGTGTAGATTACAATCTCCAGGGCAGAAAATACCTATTTGTAGGTAAATTCTTCTTACCACCCACCTTGTTTTCCTCAGCACCTTCAAAAAATTCCCTCTTCCAAGCATTTTTTCCTTTCACTCAAGCCTGTGATTTAGATTTTCTTAATGCATTAATTCACTCTCTGAAGTTCACGGTGGCAAATTCTGAACAACACATGATTTATTCAACCCTTCAACAGCAGCAAAGTGGAAACAAATAACTTTAGTTATTCCTCCTCTTACTACAAAGTGTGCAGCCAAGTGCATTTTGTGTGGAGATACAAACTTGTGAGGAATAGAGCTGGGACTGTTCTGCAAGGCTGGATTTTGGCTACTGTGCTCCAGCCCCAGGTCCCAAATTCCTCTGCTGCTTCCCAAGCTGCTCTCCCCCATTTTGAGGTAACTCATTCATGTATGTGCTACAGCCTGTGCACAAATAGGTCATTTTTTCCTACTCCAGAGCTTTTGAAAAGACTAAAAAGTCTCTCTCTGGGCAGTTTCTGCTTGAACAAAGCTGTTTGTGAGTCCTACAAGTGTTGTGTGGCTGAGCCCCTGGAGCAGATTTATTTCGTTTATTGTTCCTGGGTCATGGTGTGGTTTTGGCACTGGGGAGATGAAAAGCTGATTCCAAAATTCAAAGTTCCAAAAATCGAAGTTGCCAAAGCTGCCCTGCAGGATGAACAAACCTCTTGGAGCAAAGGAGACAACCCCAAACTTAACCCAAAGCATAAACAAACCAAGAGCCAGCGGTGCAAGGGGGAACAGAAGTTAAAGGAGAAACACATGGGGATGATGCAGATTTGGAGAACTCCAAAGCCTTCCCTTGGCAGTTCAGGAGAAAGGTTCAAGAACAAATTCTGCCGCAGGGAAATCCTAATTGCTACCAAAGGAAGGCTGGAGACTTTTCCTGCAGGAGCATAAACAGGAACGAAAGCTGGCTCCAAGGAGTTTCGTGCTGCAAATTCCCCCACCAGTGAACAGATCCCAGCATGGGCAGGTCTGTTTAACCCTGCCCTGAGCTTTGAGCAATAAAACAGAACAGAGACCCGTTTTGGGAATAATCTTGAAGATGAAAAGTCATTTGTGGTTAGTAACACATCCTTAAAGGCTTTGCCAGCTCCATCTGTGCTCGCACGGCAAAACTTTGCTGTAAGGCAGCAAGAAAACCTTCAATTATATCCTAATTCCTTGGTTTTTCAGCAAGAAACACAAATGCCACGTGCACCCATGCCCCTCTCCCTGTGTCCCTGAGGAAACCACAGTGCAGACGAGCAGCAAAGCTCGAAAATCAAATTTCCAAAGGGCAACACACCAGCAGCAGGACTATTCCCTGACCAGCTTACAGCTCTCTTAGTTAAATGATTACATTTCCCTAATAAACGCCCTCCACACTGTAAAAAACTTGGATGGAAATCCACATGATTGCCCAGGTACCTTTATATTCCTAAAAATTCAGCGGAGGACTGAGAAGTTTCAATCTTGCCTGAAGAAAGCACAACATCCTGCCATGCCTGTTATCAGTCCTATCATTAGCCATATAATTTACCTCCCAAAGCCCGGGTCAGGCTGGCTCTGAGACATTTCCAGACAATTTATCTTCCCATAACGACTACGTGCCGCAGGTTTGGGATGCCCGAGATCCCCGGAGCGGGAAGGAATTTCACACAATCCTAGGAAAGGGCAACACCAACGAGCAGCTTCCTCCTCATCGCTCAAAATGCAAAAATACAGAGATCACCTGGCTGTGATTTTGTACAGTGGATAAATGATTTATAAAGCCCTCACAAAAATTAGATCTTCTTCCAATAAACATCTTTATAAAGGCATTAAATTCCAGTGGAGCAGAACAGATTGAATGGGAAATGAGGAGGGAAGAGGCAAGGCATGGCCCTGTATTTAAAGGATTGGGAATTTGGATGGGGTGACTTTGCAGTCACCAGAGGAACAGCAAATAGGATTTGAATGGCAAAACTGCAGACCCCAAAAGAGCAGAGAGGAGATAAAAAGTGCATCAGGAGAGATCCGTGTGCCCTGGCAGGGCTCTGCGTGCCCAGGTGGGCACCACTGGCGCTGAATTCATCCCACTGTGACTGAACTTCTCTGCAAGGCACTGCCCCAGAGACAGACACAACGTCTGCTGGCGAAAACAAACCCCACAAAAGCAGGTTTTGAGCGCGGTATCAGCGCACACACGGCCGGGAAATATCCCCTCTCACAGCTGGTGCTGAAAGCAGCGCAAGGGCGTGTTCAGCACCAGTTGCTGGTGACAGATAATTGTTATCTTCACCCAAAGCGACACACCAACGTCCCCACGGCCCTGCAGAGCCTGGGGACAAGGGGGCTTTTACCCTGCCCGGGCTCGGTCCTGTGGGAAAGCAGCAGAAATCCTATTCCAGCTGCCAGGAAAAACGCACGCTGCATTTATCACACGCTGCTTGGGAATCAGAGAGCCTCACTAGCCCACAGCTGGCATTTGGGAAATTTTGTGCTCAATTTATTACGGGTGGGGCCACATTTTCTGCTGTGGGTATTCAAAGTAGCCAAAAAACCCCTAGGATGCAGCCAGCGTAGCACAGGAGAGATGGTGCAGATCTTTAGGGGAAGGTGATGGGGAGTGAGGAACCACGTGGAGCAGGACAGCAGGGACCTGCAGAGGGTCACTGAATCATAGAATGGTTTGGGTGGGAAGGGAATTTAAAGGTCATCCCGTCCCAGGGGCAGGGACACCTTCCACTAGACCAGGATGCTCCAACCTGGACATTTCAGGGATCCAGGGGCAGCCACAGCTTCTCTGAGCACCATATGCCAGGACCTCCCCACCTTCCCAGGCAGGAATTCCTTCCCTAAATGCCATCTAACCCTCCTGCCCGTCAGCGGAACGCCACGAGCGGCTACTTACGGACACACAGACAAGCCACCAGCTTGGCAGCCTCGTCGGGCACGGGGCAGGTGGGAAAGATGGGCTTGAGCAGGTAGGTGGCGAACACCAGAGCCACGATGTACTGCGAGGAAGGCCGGATGATGAGCAGCTCTATCCAGAGCTTGAGGAAGGCGGGCAGGGAGCCGTACACCTCCAGCATGTAGGCGTAGTCCCCGCCGGACTTGGTGATGGTGGTGCCGAGCTCGGCGTAGCACAGCGCGCCCACGATGGAGAAGGCGCCGCACACGGCCCAGACCACGAGCGACAGCCCCGGCGAGCCGGCCTCCCGCAGCACGCCCGTGGGGGTGACGAAGATGCCGGAGCCGATGATGGTGCCCACGATGATGGCCACGCCGTTCAGCAGGGTGATGTTCCGCTTCAGGGTCACCCCCTCCGCCGAGCCGCAGGGCGATGGCGAGCGGGCACAGCCGTTCTCCTGCGCCCCTTCCAGCATCTTCTCCGTCGCCTGCTTCTCCTCCTCCTGCGCCAGCGAGGCGGCCGAGCCGGCGGGGCTCCGCTTCTTCACGGCATTGCCGGGGGAACTGCCGCCGCTGGCGGACATGGTGGCGGAGCTGCGGGAGCGGCCACGCCGCCACCTTCGGCCGCCCCTTTTGTTCCGGCGGCGGCGGTGGGCCGGGCCGCGTTCCGGGGGGAGGAGGAGGAGGAGGAGGAGAGCGGCAGGAGGAGGGCAGGAGCGGCGGGGGATGCTGCAGCGCCCCCGGGGTGCGCGGCAGCCGCTGGGTGCCCGCTCGGGCCCGCATCGCTCTCAGCCCGGCTGCCTCCGACCGCCCCGAGCCCCTAAAGGGGGCAGGAGGGGGCAGGTGCCACCCCGCATGGTGACACCCCGGGTGACACGGGGTGCCCGCAGGGGAGGGGTGTTAGCGGCGCTTCTCCGCCCGGTGTGCTCTGTAAAGGAGAGTTCCTGCAGGGGAGAGCGGGTCCCTGTCTGTGTGTACACGTAAGCACACGTGTATGTGTGATGTACAGACTTGTATGTGTGATATATAAGATTTACAGGATATACAGACTCGTATGTATGACATACAGACATGTATCTGTGATATACAGGATATATAGGATATACACACATGGATGTATGATATACAGACATGTATGTGTGATATATAGGATATACAGACATATATGTATGATATACAGACATGTAATGTGATATACAGGATATATAGGATATACACACATGTATGTATGATATACAGACATGTATGTGTGATATATAAGATATACAGGATATACAGACACGTATGTATGATACACAGACATGTATCTGTGATGTACAGGATAGATAGGATATACAGACACATATGTATGATACACAGACATGTATATGTGATATACAGGATATATAGGATATACAGACACGTATGTATGATATACAGACACATATGTATGATATACATACATGTATGTAGGATATACAGGATATACAGACATGGATATGTGGTATACAGGAGACACAGACATGTATGTGTGATATACACATACATGTATGTATATGTGTGACATACAGACGTGTATGTGTATGTGTGATATACAGACGTGTATGTATGTATATCCTGCCTCTCCCAGCTCCCCCCAGCCCCCATCATGCTTTTCCATCCCAGTTCACAAGCACAGGGCAAGGCCCCCACCTCTACAGAGGTGCTGCTGGGATCAGCCCCTCTTGGAAGTCACCAAAATCACCAAAAAGGCTTCTCTGAAACATTAATGAGTCACCAATGTCAAATCTGCCAGATGGCAAAGTCACCAAAATGCTTGTTTGTGAAATGAAAATATAAAATAATTCAGCCATCTGGCAGTCGTGCAGGCAAAAAAGGCAATGTGTGCCTCACTGAAGGCAGAGGTTCTCCACCCAAGGAGAATCACTTGGGCACTACAATAACGCCCAAAGAGCCAATCCTTCAGCAAATTCTGATTCCCTCTTGCCCTGGTGGGAGGAGAGGAGCTCAGAGGCTCCAGCCCTGACTGCAAACATTCCCTCTGAGGGTGGAAGTGGTACCTGTGAGGAGCTGCTTCCCAGGCAGTGCTGTCACACGAGTGGTGCCCGAGCTCCAAACCCAAGGCTGGTTCATCCCCCTGGAACCCTCTCTGTGCACGGTTCAGACAGGCAGGACGTAGGCTGGAAGGTTTTCTCCAAGAGAACTCCAGAGAAACGTGAGATGGACATTCTGGGGGGAAAGGGCACATTTTAGTTCATTTCATTTCCATCACGACCACTTCCAGCCATTCCAGAATCCCAACCAGCCCGATCCTCGGAGCACTAATCCAAACCTGACATCTAGTGGCTGCTCAGGGGGTCAAACATCTGCTGCTGACTTTAGGTAAACATACAGATTCTGGAAGAGAGCAAAGACAGAAATCACCTTGGCACTAAGCACGTTCCTCCAGTTTTCAAGGAGAAATGGGATCCTGAAGAGACTGAAAAGACTCTGACAATTAATTAAAAATAAACCACAACACATTTATCACAGGTTTTCTGTAACCCAAAAAGCCTTTTTAAAATTTACTAGTTTACCACTACAGGCCATTTTTGTTACTCCATTCCATGATTTATCCCAGAACCATGAAATCAGGAAAAAAAATCAGATACTTACAACATATGGAATTATCCCTGTGTCAGCCTTGTTACATCAGGATGCAGCAGACAGGACTGGGATTGAAATTAAGTATTTGCTTCAGGTGTTTTCAGATGAACATTCAAACTCGGTTATATATTTGGGAGAATAAAATCATTTATCAAGGGATTTACTTCTGCAGTGCTCCAGGCCAAGTTCCTCAAGGCCAATAATGACCTAGAACCAGGATCTCCTGAGCTGGAAGGGACCCACAGGGATCGAGTCAAATTGCTGGCCCCAGGAATCCCACCATGGGCATTTTACACCTGATATGAACCCACACAGAGATTTCCATGAACTCCCACAAGAATGGGACAGAGTTATCCTGTTCTAACTCTTCCAAAATGGGAATTTTCCTGAGGACTGGAAATCCCAGGCTCCAGAGGCCATGGGACAGCAGCCACTGAACTGCCCTGTTCCAAGCCAACCTCGTGCTTGACTCTTTTGCAAATTATTGCATGGGAGTTCATTCTGCAACTGTTTTTCCATTTGTATTTCTGAGAAAACACCAGGCTGGCATTGGGGTGTGTTCCCAGAGCCGATATCTTCAAAGCACCTGCCAGTGCCGGGTGTTGTTATCAGCCCGGCCCTGAGCATTACCTCTCCTCAGGCCCCCAAGTTCTTCCGCAGGATCTTTGAAGACTATTTGATTATCCAATCAGCTCTCCATGTGCTAACACTCAGAGTTTGGCACATCAAAAAGGAGGAGGAAAGGAATGATTTGTCAGAAGCACAAACAATGAGCAGGAGCAGGAGCAAATGGGCCATTTGTGAGGAGGGATGGGGATGTTTTGAACCAGTTATTTGGAAAAGCTGCCTTGATCCAGTCACTCTGCTGGCATAAATCCCCCATTTCTTCAGCAAACACCTCAGCTGTGCTGATTAAAGAGCTCAGAGCTGCTTGTCCTGGGTAAATGGAAGTGGTGGCAGCTTCTAGAACCATTAAATGGTCACAAGAGCAGAGCTGGCCTCACTCCTAACCCAGGCCACTCTTTCTTCAGAAGAAAATGGGCTGCCCAGCCACCAGGACACTTGGAGAAGCCTCTAGAAACATTACTTACCATTACTTTGGGGGCATTCCTTAACTAGGAATGGAATCTCCTGTTTTTCCTATTAAAAGAAACTTCTTTGGATTAATCCAGCTAAACACAACCTGTCTGGGTGACAGCTGGACTCCAGGTGTGGCTCAGCTGTGAGACAGAAATCAACACTTATTTCACCCAGTGTTCATGGAATCATGGGATGGTTTGGGATGAAGGGACATCAGAGCTCATCCAGTTCCAACCCTGACACCTTCCACTGTCCCAGGCTGCTCCAAGCCCTGCCCAACCTGGCCTTGGGCACTGCCAGGGATCCAGGGGCACGCTGAGTTAGGGCCTCCCACCCTCACAGGAATGATTCCTTCCCCATATCTAATCTAAACCCACTCTCTTATATCAACTTTTAATTGGTATCAGTAATTGAATGGCCTTAAAATGGTTTTTTAGGGTTGTTTGATAGCATTTTTGTAGCTACAAGCAGCAGCTGGGTCACACCACACAGGTCAAGGCTCAGTTTTATGACAGGACAGAGGAAGGAGCTCAGCTGACAGCTCCAGCTGAATGGGCAGTGTCCAGGGAAGGGGTTCAGGAAAGATCCTGAAAGTCTGGAATGCTGCTGGAGATGGCCTGTGGCATCTGGCTGGGCGTGAGCAATCATGGGATACCCTTCAGCAGCACACAGGGCTCTTTGTGCTTTCATTCTTACACAGCTCAGCAGAGTCTTTCAGAGCTTGGAAGTATCACAGAACATCTGACAGCTGATCAGACTCTGCTCCTTATGAACTGGGGCATTCCCAGAGAGGAATTCTGATCTTTTTTTGAGAGGAAATTTGACTTTTTTTTTTTTTTAACTTGAAAAGCTTAATTACACAATGAGATACAGGCATGGGTTTCTCTGTTCCTTTATTGTAGTTGCACACTAATGTAACAATGTAAAATGCAGCAGCTGAAGGGTTCTATACATTAGGGAAAAACTCTGGGGAAGGGCCTGTATCCCAGGAAAACATAAAGTATTCCCTGTTCAGGTGCTGTCTGCAGACAGTGATTTCAGTTACGATCAGACAGGTAACACACATTAAATACACAACATCATAAAGGCCACAAAAACGAGATGCACAAAGAAAAAAGAAAAGCCAAGATGTGCCAGGAAATACAAGTTAAAACATCTCAAATTAAGGCATGAGGGGACCCTTCATCCAAAGCAGAATTCCAGCCCTCTAAAACCCTGTGGAGATCAAAGCAAACTCCAGTTCTGGAGCTTCCAAAACCAGGGGAGACCCTCCTGTCATCCCTGACAGAAAAGGCAGCACAAAAGTGGGCAGGAGCACCTGAAGAGTGAAAGTTCTGGAATGCAGGAACAGGGATCAAACATTCCAACCCCAGAGGAAGGTGTCCCCACTGTGAGTCACCCAGGACAAGGTGAGAGCAGCATTTCAGAGGAATCCTGAAAGGCAGCTGGGATCAGACCAGCACAGACCTCCAAACCTTCTCCTCCCTTTGCAGGGAGTTGTCTCAGAATTATTCCTGGCACAGTCTTTAATTCCTGGGACTTGCTGCCCCAGGAATGCCTCCCAGGGCAGTATTTACTAATAAAGTGACTCTTATGCAAGGAAAATACAAATATGTGCTTTGACCCTTTTGTATTGTGCCACCCAAAAGAGCCCAAAGATTCCTTTTTAACTTAATTGTGCAAAATCAGCTCTAACCCAACAATCAAATAATTTTTCCACACAGAACTGAGAGAACAAGGCACAGGAATTCTATCCCATCTCTTGATTTGAACACAATTATTTTCCTAAACTTTACATTCACAAGGTCAATAAAGTCATTCTAACAAAAAAGTTAGAATTGGAAAAAACAAACAAAAAACCCTCAGTATGTTAATTTCCAGATCAATTCCAACAATCTACCCTGCAGCTGATCTCCTGCCTGCCTTAAGGAGATGCTAAAACACTATACATAAATGCAGTAAACATTAAGAACATCAAGAAACAGTAAAATAAATGTAAAACCCTGTAAAACTTTTTTTTTTTTTTTGTAAGACAGTAGTTATTTTTTATCTACATTAACCTTGTTTCCAGGTATTTGAAGTGATCAGTGCTGAAACTGGAATTTCTTCATTTTATGTCAGTAAAAATAGGCGTGATTTGATGGAAATATGGACACAGTTTAACTGTATCACTGGGTAATTCACTATTCTCTAACAAAGCTTCCATGGCAATACTTGAACAAAGTAAATCTCTGGGAGAATTTTAAATAAATCTCTCTGAGAACTTTAACTGGATCACTGGGAAGGGAAAATCCCACATTCCCTCTGATGGATGCAGGGTGGTTCAAAAGGGATTTACACATCCAGAAGGGAAAATCTGATCGAGTGGAGCAAACCATGGAGAACTCAGTGAGTGTGAGACTGCTACAGAGCTCCAGAGAAGCTGAAGTTAAATAGTTACACCCTGGCAGATCCCTAAAATAATCTGCTTTTTGGGTTTGTTGGGAAAGCTACATTGAATGGTGATTCTTCTCAGTGGATCAGAGAAATCCAAAAACTCGGTGGAAATTACAAAAGCAATTACAAAAGCTTTTTAAAAGATCCATTCATAAATTATAAGGAGATTGATGCATCTACAGCCCAGTGCTGCTGAGACAGTTCTGTTTTTAAATAAAAGGCAACATTAAGATGCCTTTGTATTACAATTTTTTCTATTAATGAGTAGAAAATATCTGAGCTGCTGCCATCTTTCTCCAGAGTCCTCCTCAGAAAGTGTCTGCAAGAACAGCACTGAATAAGTATCTCAGACTTAATGACTGGACCATAATTATTATATATTCAGGCAAAAAGTAAAATAATTTTTACTGGACTGGAGATACTCCTTCCAGCTTTGTTTTGGGATGTATCATTCTCCAGAAAAATCATCACTGATGTGGACTTGTAGCTAAAAATCTGTGTGATGATGGCAAAGCCTGCAGAGTTCAGCTGAGATCATGGAATCAGAAAATCATGGAATGGTTTAGGTGGGAAAGGACATTAAAGCTTATCCAGTGCCATTCCTGCCACTATCCCAGGATAATCCCAGCTCCATCCAAAGGGAAATGGCACAACCAGGATGGAAACGTTCCCCCAGGCAGGGTGGGCTTGGGGGAAGTGGAGAAAGCAAAGAGCTCCACTGAATTCCCAACAGGAAAAATATCCTACACTGGGATAGAGGGAGATTTCCTTCCTTTCAGCAGCCAGAGTCACTCAATTGAAGTGGCCACGTTGAAGGGGACAAAGGCACAACTGAGGCACCAGAACAGCCTGAGGTAGAGCTATTGAGGAAGGAAAGGCAGGATCTGGGCACTCAACTGGCTCAACATTATCTCAAACCCTTAATATCATCAGGGTCATGCTGAAAAGTGTTAAAGTGCTTTGAAACTGAGTACTTGGACTTCAAAAAAACCAAAGTACCAATTGGAAAGGGATGGATTTAGCATTGCCAAGCCAGGCTGTGGCTTCACTGAATCCCACCAGGAATCAGACAGAGGGAGGAAAGAGACTGGACCCATGGAAATCACACAGGGAGTTCACAGGCAGAGCTGCTCCTCATCAGAAACCTGGTTAAGGAATTTTATCTGCTAAATACAGCAGAGTGTGAAGGGACAGAGAGAAAGGGGCTGAGAGAAAATTAGGTTTAGTGGGATGTGAGAGGTCACTGATCCCTGGGGCTGCTGGACCACAGCTCCTGGGAAAGGCTCGGAGCTGGCAGCTCACACAGCAGCTCTGCTTGGTCCACAAATCAATTCCACCCCCGCTGGACCTTGTTACCATAAGGTGCAATAAAAACAAACTGGTCCCCACTGGTCCTGAAGCTGGACGTTTTTATAGGAAAATATATCTCAAGGCAAAACTTTGAAGAGAGCACAGGCGCTCAGTGAGTTATTGAAATAAAAACCCTTTCCTTGCACTGGTTTGAGGAATTAGTTTGGGTTTTTGCCCTCCTGATCCCACTGGAAGGGTCAGCTGGGCCTTATCTAATCTTGCTTTCCTTTGATGTGATCAGTTTCCTGGGATCAATTGGACATTTTCACCTGATTTGCTACTCCTGCCAGTTTTGAGGCACTGGTGAATTCTCTTCTCCTCCCTTCTACTGACAGATTATTAACACGGGAAAACAAAAGCTGCCAAAGCCAAAAGCTTCTAGAGTTGTTAAAGGGTTTTAGAAAAAGTCTTCTGGCTCCTGGTGTAGTTACAGTGGGCATTCTGTGACACCCACATCAAACACGGAATGGCATTTTTGTCCTTGTCCTCTCATCCAAGGAGAAAGGAAGAAGGTACAATGTCTCTGAGACAAGCTAGTTCTCTTCCCAGACATCAAACAATTCCCTAAAAGGATCTGATCAATCTGGTACTGATATTTTTCTTTTCTTCCCACTTCCTGCTTCTAAACATTTTTTTTACCCAGGATTATTGATTCATGAAAGGCACTGAAAGAGCATTTGAAGAAACACAGAACAATTCAGAGAAGAGCAGGGGACAAGCTCTCCTATCCCTGTTTTTAACTGTCTTAATAATTCCTTCTTGACCCCTGCCTCGGAACAATTCAATTTGTTAAGGGTTAATATTATTCACTTCTTAAAAACTAAAGCAAAACTAAAAAACCCCACTGTTACTTTGTTTTTTTGAGAGTTTTAAAGTTCTAAAAGTTTCTTATGCCTTCTGATGCTTACATATTTCTACTGAATCTTCTCCCACTGTTCAAGTGAATAATGACTGTTTTACATTCTTCTTTGTAAGTAGAGGGAATTGATAGACTGTTAGTTTAAGCAGTGTAGCTGGAGAGGTGGCAATCCACCAATCCACTGTCAGTTTTACTATTCTGTAGTGGAGTCAGGAAATAAATCCTCTCTTTAAGTTCTTTCCCCTTTTACATCTATCGTCCGTGTGTGAGTAGTGTGCCACCCCAGAGCTTCCCTAGGGCCAGCCAGGGAGCACTGGCAGGCAGGGAGAGAAGGAGCAATGCTGGGAAATGCTGTGCAGGCAGGGCTGGGGACGCTGGGCCAGCTAAGGGCCGAGCTGGGGACGGAAGGACGAGCGCACAGTGCGGTTCATCAGCGGCTGCAGCGGGCGGAAGTTGTCCACCATCCTCCTCTCCTCCTCCCCGTGCGACGTGAACAGCAGCGTCCGAAAGGCCTCCAGCTGGGAACCACAAACCCAGTCAACACACCAGGAATCCCCCACTTGGGGAATTCGTGGCAAAGGACAGGAGTTTGGTTTTGGAGAGGGAATAAAATCAAGGGTAGCGCTAGGTGTGTGTTCTGAGGGGTTTTAGTAGCCACACCTGCTGGTAAAGATTGTCCCATTTTCCACGCCAGCATGGGAGAATTATCAGTCATCTGCCATCCTTATGGAAATTAAATCCCAAATGTGGCACACCTGAGAGAGCTATTTCCTCACCCAAATACTTCATCCAACCTCCATTTACAGCCTCTCTGGCACACAGAAAAGAGGGAACCCCAAAAATCCCCAAGTTGTTCTCTCACTGATTTATAACTACAGCAGCAGATCAGCTTTTACTGCTCACAAGGCCATTCCAATGGTAAGTCATTGCTATGAGAGTAAGGAGCCAGGAAAAAAAGAAAAAATGGGAACAATTTCAAATTTAAAGGAATGCCACACTATGCCTGCAGTTCTCTGTTAACCATCTCCATGTCACAAAAATCTTCCCATTTTCCCTTCCTTCCACAAAAAGGAGGGCAAAATTATGAGAATTCCACTAAGTTCCTAAAACTCCCCAAGTTTTCAAGGGGCAGCTTCCAGAATTGTATAGCACAGATCAAGATAAAACTCTTGAGAATAGATGGAAAAGTTGAATAAACCTGGAAAAACATCTTGGAGAGGTCTTTCAGTATTAGTGGCTGTTAATGCCAGGATTCCTCCCCAAATCCTGGGTTGAAAGTGTCACAGAACTCTGAAAACACTGAATTTTTGTCTTTTCACAGAGAATTGCATCTCTGTGGCAGCAAGAGGTGTGATCTGAAAGGAAAATTGAGATTTTTACCTGATCCTCATCCACCTCGATTGGCTTCTTCTTAATGATCCATGTGACTGATTCAGTGAGGGGGGGAGTGGTCAAGGAGCCGGCGTAGGTCCAGTAATCAGGACAGGAAGGGATCAGGCACGAGGGATCAAAGACATCAAACTCAATCACAGTGTCCTAAATATTAGGCAAGAAACATTTTTAAGGATGGTGTTTTGAGAAAAAACTGACAAAGCTGAAATTGGTCTTGACAGTGAGGTTAAGAACTGTTATGTGTGGGAAATAGGGTGTTGGGAATATTAATAATGTTATTATTTTAAATCCATCAAATTTGTGTAAAATTGGGGTTGAGGTGTAAGGAGCAGCTGCTGAGCAGGCAAAAGTTAAATATTTCTGCTGTCTCTCCACGAGCCATTAGGAATTCAGTGCAGGAGAAACAAGGAGTGAGAAGGTTCAACATCTTAAGGTGTTCATTCCCACACGTGGAATATCAGACAGAATGTAGGAGCTTCAAAACCCAGGATTTCCCACACAAACATTGCTCCAGGGGAATTTTCAGGATATACTGGGGGATCCTGGCTTATTTGCTTTTAAATTCACATGCTGTAAATTATTATATTGTCACAATAGATGTATATTCAGATTTGGGGAGGTCTTCTGGCACTGAACTGACGTGTTTGGTGTTTATCTGGCAGAGCTGTCACTGCTCTGATATAAAAACTTGTTTTATCTGGATTTTAAAAACTCCTTCCTGTGAGAAGTAGAGTCACAGCGACTTCAGCTGGATGAGATCAGAAGCTGAAGAGGTCGATGTGGTTTTTTCCCTGCTTTCAGAAGGGAACAAGAAATGCTTCTGTCAGAGACTCAGCACTCCCTCTCCTGGCAGGAGCCTGCCAGGAACGATCCCATTCCCCCAGCAGAAAATTCAGTGTTTATAGAAAAGCAAATAACCTCTTCAAAGAGCGGACAAAAATCAAAAAGCCTTAATCCCATAGGAAATAAACCCCTACTTCAAGTCCTTAAAGGAGAAACAATCTCAAGAGCAGCATTTCTTCAAGAGGTTTTGAAAGCTTCAAGTATCCAATTCCTCCTGAAAAATCAGCTTCCCTTCCCACTTCCAAGGTGTCAATCAACTCAATTTTACCCCCCGGTAAAATCTAAGGAAGAAGGCTTTTCTGGGTGTTTTGTGGCTCTCCAAGTGTTCTTTCTGCTGGGTGACAATGGGTGGGACACCTCAGAGCACTGACCTTGTGTCTGACTGCTGGCAAGGCATCCACCAGGGTCTGCAGCCCCTCGTGCCGTGCTCCCAGCTGCAGGGACAGGGAGGGGTAGGAGAATCAATAAGCTGATCAGTAATCAATCAGTTCTACCTATCAGTCTTAGTATTCTTTCATAACAACAATCAGAGAATGTTTAGGGTTGGAAGGGAGTTCTGGAGATCATCCAGCCCAAGGCAGGGGCAGCTGGAGGAACACATCCAGGTGGGTTTGGAATGTCTCCAGACAGGGAGATTCCATATCCTCCCAGGGCAGCTGTCCCACCCTCAACAGAAAGTTCTTCCCATTGAGGTGAAACTTTTTTTAGCTTCTGGCCATTGCTCCTCATCCTGTCACTGGCACTGAACAGAGCCTGGCACCATCCTCTGACACCCCCTGGGAACACTGATATGGATTGATGGGATCCCCTCTCAGCCTTCCCTTAGTGCCCTAAATTGCTTTAACAGAATGGCCCCATCACAACTGGTCCCACAAAACAAAATTACCTTTAGGAACACTCCAATAACAGCCAGGCCATTCCCTTCCATCACAGCTTCCTCAAAACTCGGGTACTCCACAGCATTCCAGTGCACCAAATGCAGCTGAAAGAGGAGTGAGGGAGAAATCAACCCCTGCACAGAGCACAGACGCCACACCTGACTTTTGATCCTGGCTGCATTTGCTCCTGGGCAGGGTGAGGCACTGCAGGGAGCTCCTCAGAAACCACAGAACAAGGAACAAAGTGCTCTTGGTAAATAATGGTCCTTCCCTTCCTTTTTTTGGTTTTTGCTTTAAATAGGTCAGACACACTGAATTTCCCGTCTATAAAAGGGATTTAGCCATGGGAGTCTCTCTCCATGAATGCTGGCCAAAGGCACAGACAAAGCTCAGTCTTCCACCTCTTTCCTCTCTTCCCAGGAGGAGCAGAGCACCCTGTCCTCCTGAGGAACATCCTCCTGCACACAACAGTCTTCCTCTTCACTGCAGACAGCCAATATATTGAGGAGTTCTGTGTGATAAATAAATACCCCAGCCCAAAAACTTAGTCACAGTCTCCCTGTTAACGAGGATCTTGCCAAGCTGGCAGCACCACCATGAACACACCAACAGGAGAGAAAATCTCCTTAAAAATAACCCATCATCACTTGACAAATTCTTCTCCTTTGGCAAAAAACTGTGGTCAAAGCTGTCAGTTCCACATTTTCATTGACTTCATCATTTTATTGACGTTTTCTTTCTCAGCAGTTACTTAAGCATCCAAGTTTTGCTATTTTAGTAACTGTTCAACAGTTGCAAACAGAAAATAAAGTGGTGTTTTATAAGAGTAATTAGTGTATGTTTTGTGGGTGACAATCTCTAAAAGGTTTAGTAACAATAAACAATGTGATTTTTAACTTTCAATAACGGATTATGTCCAGTTTTCAGGCCGTTCTTCTCCAGAAAACATAGTGAAGATGAATTTTTAAAGAATAAAACAGCAGGTGAACTGTAGCACTTCAAAAGAAACTGCAATTCCTCAATTTGGGAGTTTTCACAGACACACCTGAGACAAGTATTGGCATTGTTTAGGATTTCATCTCATACCTCTGCTGGGTAAAATTTACAGTCAACTGTGTGCTCTGAGCCCCAGTCGTTGATAGCTCCCCAGTGGAAGTGGAACTGCTTCAGCCTGTACTGGTTTTCCAAAGGGCCTCCAACGATGGCTAGAAAACAAAACAAGGCACACATGTTAATAAATATGATTTAAAATTGGCCAGACAAGTAAATTCTTAGAAAAAATTTGCCCGTGAAAAAGCATCAGGTGGAGCAACTCAAACAGTGCCTATCCACACTTTGCCACGACCAAATTATTCAAGGAAACACATTCCCGGTTTTCCCTGCACCAAACTGGAGATGAGTGAAGTCTCCTCATCCATCTCCCCTGGAGGGAATGTTTTCCCAGGTGACACCAAGTTTGGCACAGTCACAGTGATGAGTGTCACATTCTCACCCCTCTGTCAGAGCAGAAGTGTCAGGACTGCCTGACCAGGTGACACAGGAGTGACACATCTATTAAATGTGTTCAATGACATCCCTACAAGGATCTGTGAAAAGTGTTGACATTTCTCATGACAAGACTTCAAAAAGCAAATCATGTCAGACAAATCAGGATATTGAGTCAAATGTTCAAATCTTCTGCAAGCTACAAAAATCCAAACATCTTATTCTGCTTCTACACACCTTCCAGACTGCACAAGCAAAGGTCAGCCAGAAATATGCTTTGTTGTGCCTACACGCTTTTCAGGAAGGATTTAAACATCCAGTCTGCTACTGGGCAAGTTTCTGGAAGATTTAATGCCCTTTTCATCAATTTGTAAAGGTAAAACTTCAGTCTGTTCTCCTGATTTCAGAAGGCTTCCAATCCTTCTGCAAGCACATGAGTGAAGAAGTCCATGCCCAGCTTTCTGCTTCCACTCATTCCCTCCTACCTGGACCAAAACCATCCTGCAAAGTCATCTTGCTAATTGTAAAATCACACCATCTGGTAAATGAGAAACTCTAATTGCTTCCCAAGGGTTAATAACACTTATGGAATCAGGGAATCATTTAGGTTGGAAAAGAGCTTTTCAAAGGGTTCGTCCAGCACTAAACCATCAGCATCTGCTGATTTATACTGAACTCTAAGACATGGGGAAGTTATACAGCAAACCTTGGTATGAAGCACCTAATCCCAAAACTGCTTTTGGAAATAAGTTAATCACTTCCATGCTAAGGAGAAAACAATGAGAGGCATTAAGAGATTTTCTTGTATTATTTTTCCTGAAAGCCAGCCAGCAGGTTTGAAATCCTATCCAGCCAGGCCTGTCTGTGAAAAATGAATAAATTAAAGCGAGCTGTGCAAAGTGACATTGAATTAATTTCATCCCCTGTTGCTGAGCTCTGGGCATGAATGCAATGCTGACCATCACTGGGAAATCACAATGCCCCATCCCTGAAGCGTCCAAGGCCAGGCTGCACAGGGTTTGGAGCAGCCTGGGGTGGTGGAGGGTGTCCCTGGCCAGGGCAGGGGGTAGGATGGGATCAGCTTTAAGGTCCTTCCCACCCAAACCATGCTGGGATTCTGTGCTGGGGAAGGGGTGGGATAAACATGTGGGTCACACAGCCAAGCCTCTCAAAAGTGAATTTCTGTGCTCTAACACAATCCACTCCTGAGTATGTGATGATGCAAACTCACAAGTGACTACAAATTTGTGTTAGTAACCACATCCACTTGAATATTTGCCTCACAAATAACTTTAGGCACAGACACATGTATGGAGTCAGGTTCCTGTAGTGGCCACCAGGAAGTGACAGAAAACAAACAGGAACTTCAGTCCCTTCAGAAGCATTTGTTCTCAAATTACAACCTTGACAATTTCAAAACAAAACTGAAGTTTAAGGGGCTCTAACAACAAGAATCACATCAGGTGTTTCTTGCAGCCCTGGCTCTGTTTCAGCTTAATTTCTGGTGGCACCACACACAGACAGACCACATGCTGTACATACCTTCCCCTCATCCTCTTCTTCCTCCTGCTCTACCTTCAGCTTTAGCCCAAGTCTTGCAACCCCCATGTCAGGATTCAGGCATTTTTGTCTATCCTGGGTGTCTTTCTCATCTTCTGTTTCGACTGTGGTGCTTTTGTTTGTTCCCAAGCTTTCTTCTCTGGATTTCTATGATTGTTAGACAGAAGCTGGCAGTGAGAAAAAGCAGAAACAGCAAGAGTAAAGAGAGAAAGGTGGAGGAGAGAGGCAGGCACCTGCAAACTGGGGGTTATACAGCAACTCCTCACTGTCTGTTGCTTCTCTGTCATTTTGGAGCCCTGTCACTGATTGATTGATGCCATCCTACCCTTCATGGACTTGAATTCATTTAAGGAAGATGAGGATGATGAAAAGGCAGCAAATGCTCACAGGGAAAGATCTACCTCAAGGAAAGTCTTATAGACAAAGCAGGTAAGATCTTTCAGAGGTGAGCTATTGCCTCAAAGGCCTGATGATTCCAGCCTTGCCTTTATGTCATAAAAACTGCTCCTGTGCAATTAAATATTGCATATTTCTGAACCCCCTACAGGCAATTCCCCTTTCCCAAACACTTTTCAGGATCTTATCCTTAACTGATAGTGGGGTGTGGCTTATAAAGCAAGAGGCTGTTTAGTGAAAAGCAAAGCAAATCTAAAGTTAGTAAATTAAAATCACTTAAAATCAAGTCATGTCTGTCCCCTAACCCAACCTCACTGAAAAAAACAGCACTTCTTCATGAAACCAGTGCTTAAATGAGCAAGGGCAAGGATATTTCCTCTTGGAAATGGATTATTCCAAGTGAACAGCTAGAAATAAGGAAAACAAAACAAGCCCCAAACATCACACAAGTTCCCTACATTCCACCACCACCGTTTTTGCTGCAATGTTTTATCAGCCTCTGTCCAAACATCAACCAGAAATGTTGCTGTTGTGAAGACAAAGTGTTTGTTTGGTGTGCTGGAGGCTCCCTCCCCGAGGGTATTGCTAAATCCCTCAGGAAGCTAGAGGAGCTCTCATGGTGAGCAGCCATTTAAAACATAAAGTACTCCAATCCAGCAGGTTCAAACTTGCTCAGGGTCCTTCAGTCTTTTCCTGCAGGACAAGCTGAGCAATCATGTGCTTCACAACAGCCCTGATCAATTGCTACCAGCTCACCCACCCTTATGAAGTATCTTCATATTCTGCAATATCCTTTGCTAAAGGCAGCTTTTATAAGCAACAGTGGACAGAAAATCTGGGATTTGGGAGCAATATCTTGATTTTAAGTCAATTTTTTTACTCTGTTGAGCCTTTAAAAAGGTTGAGCCGCTCAGGTCAGAGGTTTATTCGCATGAAGTTGCTGGAATGCATGATTGGATCTTCCATGCACTCCTGCTTCCCCTAAAACAACAGGAATACACAAACACCTGCTCCCGAGGGCAGAGCTCAGTGTTATTTCACTCCCTAAAACCCCACACAGATAAGCCTGTGCGCTTTCCAACTGCAACTCATTTGGCTGCTGATTATTTCAAGTGCAGTAAATATCTTTATTAACACCACAAAAGATAAGTGGCAGATTACTTCAATAAAGAGTAGTGAGGGAATCAGGTTTCAAATTGAGTAGGTACACATAGAAATGACTGAAGATTGACTCGTGTGGGTACAGTTTATTACAAAACCTACAAGACACGGCCCTGAGGCTTGTGAAAGGAGTTTCAACATACAGCAAGGGATTTGTGCACAATGCCCATGGTAATAAGAACACTGTATGAAGTCTGTATAGAATTTCTTCAGCATTTGCTGTAAACCCAGTATTTTTTACCTGTGCATTCATTTTCAACAGCAGGTCTTACATCACACAAGTCTCTTAGCATTAACAAGACATTAAATAGATTTTTTTTTAATAGATTTATTTTAAATAGACTTTTTTTTTCCCTGAGTTTTTACTTACTTGACCTATCAGTAGAATCATCAAATTCCACCAGGAAGGAGTAGCCATTGTTCCAGATGTGAAGACAGGTGGTGGGGTCGTAGCTGATTTTTAGAGGCTTCAGGAAGGGATCATAAACACTGTCCCTCCACTGGATGTTGATGGGAGACTGGCGGGTACCTCCGGGAATTGTCAGTGGGCTCTGCCACAGCGGATGCACTGCAAGATGAGGAGGAGAGTCAGGCTAATGCAGGATACAGAACTTTCTGGCAAGGGAAGGTGCTGTGTCACAAAAGGCTAATTCGAGTCAGCAGTGCACAGAAAAGCGAAAGAAAAATAAAACATTCCAATTGCATGACTCAAAGCCAAACAGGGAAGTGCAGTAATTTGACTTAGAACCATGTCAGTATCTTCTGCCTTTGCAGAAAGTTCTGTCCCTTTATTTCCCAGAAAAAGACAATGTTTTCCTATTACTGCCAGATTTTAAGGCGGCTTTGTTTTACAGCTTTCTTTCCACATCAGCACCACCAGCTGAGCTGGGAGCGCTCCAGACAAGGGATAATTCCCACTGGGAAGCAAAACATTCTCTAGGAGAAAACTCAAGCACAGGGGTTACTCCACAAAGGGGGTCCAGAGCTCCTGTAGCAGGAGCTAACCCCCAATCCTGACCAAACTGCTTTGTGCAGACAGCTCCTGCTGATCCCACCCCTGTCAAACCCAAACCCAGCACTTTTGGGGGCAGCCTGGACCCCTCAAACTGGCATAAGCAGGATAGGTACATGAATGGCTTCCACAGGACTTTATTCTGCTTAAAACCAGACCCGCCGCCTGTGTGGAGCTGTTCACCCGGTGATCCGCACACAGTCTTTCTGCTGAACCCCAAATCACAATGCTTCGAGCATCACTTCACAGGTAACTTCACTAGATACGACTGTTCAAGGTCTTTTAAACGAGCAACTGGAAAGAAATTAAACCTTCAAACCACTCACACGAGGGGTGGCCGAATAACTTCCCCCCCACCTACCCCCCCGTTTCCCTCAGTGAGGCGCAAACTACGACGCTCCATAGTCAACTCAGGCAAAATGTATAGGGAATATATTCGAAACACCGCCACTTCAGTGTTTCAAAAACATATTTTATTTAAAATACCTAAAAAGGTATTTTAAACGAGCAATTGGAAAGAAATTAAACCTTCAAACCACTCATACGAGTGGCCAAATAACTCCCCCCCCCCGCCCCCGTTTCCCTCAGTGAGGTGCAAACTACGCCGCTCCATAAGGACAACTCAGGCAAAGGCGGCGCAAAATATATAGGGAAGATATTTGAAACTCTGCCACTTCAGTGTTTCAGAAAACATCAGGCAGATGTTTCAGCGGAGGACAAAGCCAGGCAGCGCCCTGCGGCTCCCACACAGAGTTGGGCAGCGATGGCGGGACAGCGGCAGGGCGGGCGGGGCGCGCTGAGGGAGAGCGGCACTCACGGGCGTCTCGCAGGCGGTAGGAGCAGCAGGCACCGAGGCTGCACCGGCGGCTGCCCCGCTGTGAGGAGGAGGAGGATGAAGAAGAGGCGATGGCAGCCACCCAAGCTCGGCGGAGCAGCGGCAGCATCGCGGCCGGAGATCGCGGAGCCGCCCAGCCCAGCCCGGCCCTTTCCGGCACGGCCTCCCCACCATGGCCCGGGGGGCCGGGCTGGGTCTGCCATGGGCGGCTCCTCACTCTGTGACAGCCCCGGTGCTGTGAAAAACGCCAATCGCTTGGTTTTAAAAGTTTAATTATAATAAAATGGTTATAAAAATAATAATACAATGGGAGTAATAAAGTTTAGAGTTGTCCTTCCTGTCACGCACCCAGCGCCGAACCCGGGCTCGGCACTGTCCTTTTCCTTGTGGCTGGCTCAGAGAGAATTCGATCCTAAATAAATTTTTTATTATTTCATTTTTAATTTGGCTGGACCAATTTTCATTTATAACAATAGTAATAAATTTTATTAGAGTAATAAAATTTAGAGCTAGGACAGTTATAAGACAATAAAAAGCAAAGACTTATGGACGTCCAGATGCTCTCGGACACTGAGTCACGGAAAGCATGCCTTGTGAACAAAGGAATAACTTTAAAAGCAATAGCCTGTTGTATATTCATATATCTCATACATGATGCATAAATTCCTTGCAAATTAAGAACCTCTCTGTTTTTTGTTAACTTCTTCTTAATACTGTTGGTTCCACAAAGACGGAGAGAAGGTGAAAGAATGTTTTTTTTTTTTCTGATAAGGAGGCAGTAACTTTTTATGGGCCCCCTTCGCTGTCATCTCTGTGTGAAGAGTTTCTTGATTATCTCATCTTCTCTCTTGAGCTTGTAACAAATCCTATATCGCAGAGTTTCTATTTTAACATTATGTTGTAACCTAAAACTACATTTATCACACTATTTAAGAGAATTAATACAGCATAACTTTCTAACATTACATATATAATATTTATTGTAACATTTGCGAAAAGCCAATCATAAAATATGCATTTTTCACGGCAAGTGTGGCCCTTCACATCAAAAGGGATTAATTCCTTCACAATGAGAACATCCCCTCGAAAGATATTGACTCACCCAAAAAATGTCCCCTCACATCAAAATAGCATTTATTTCCCTCACACCAAGTGCATCCACTAACACTTAACGCCCTAACATCCTAAAAAAAAGCGGTTATTCCCTCACACCAAAAAAATGCACAGAGCTGGGTGGCCCAGGAACAGCAAGGTCCCCTCTCCAAGCCACATTTGGAAACGTTATGAAAAGTTAATATTTATGTTTACTTTCCTTGGCTGTCACAAAGGCAAGAGGCCAAAATAGTCCCACCTTGGATGGTGAAAGGGAACTCAGTATTCACCTGACACTGCCTGAAGCAGAGAAATCTCAATGAAATGGATTAAAAAGAAATCCTGTAGAAAGCTGAAAACATCAGTGAAAGCACAGAGATAAAGCAAGAATTCCAATTTTTGCCTGTTCTCTTGCGCAGCCAGGAGCAGACCACCCTTAGCTCCTGACCTTCCTCTTGCTGTACAATTGTATTTCATAGTTACTCTCTTAAAATAATTTTGAAAATCTGCATTTCTCTTTTGGGGATTTTTTTTTTAATCTTGTACTTTTGAATTTTCACAAGGAACTTGATGTAACACTGAGAATGTTTTACTGAAATGAAGACAGGACCAGCTACTCAACCACAAGAAGTGTTTGTCCTGTTTCACCCACATTGCATAAGAAGTTTCCATTGCATTCACAGTATAACATGTTTAAAGAACTCCTGAGTTGAGTAAGAGGAGGTTGAAACCTGACCAACGATTTGCTTTGAGTGGCTGCATGATCACAAACAGATCATCAGGAGATGTACAAACAGCTTGTGATGTCAGGATGTCAAACTGGGTTTAAATTTCATTTTACTTCCTCCCTGCGGAGTCTCTTTTGTGTAGCAAAACTGCAAGCAAATGAATTTTTGGTTTGACTCCCAGGGTTTTTTAGGGTGGCTAATTTACTATTCTCAACAGAATGCTTCCTGTAGATGGATAATTGATGAGATTGAAAAGACCTGCTGCCCATAAACATCATGATTCAGTCAAGCTTAATCACAGTTTAACAGCCTATTGATCATGGTTAGGCAACTCTCTAGCACAGATGTGTCCTGCTGAAGTTTGATGGACCACAGGACAGCCCAGATGGGCTTCAGGCGTTTTATATTCAGCACAAGCAAGAGATACCGGGGCTTATTCTCATCTACCAACAAACTGCTGACATCCCTCCACCATTCTCCCTCTTTCCATTCTTCCAGGATGTCCTCTAAGTCCTCAACTGATAATCTTGGGCATCTTAGAAATTACATCCACACCTGGTTGTGTAATTACAGAAAATCACAACCATCCCTTTTCTGTATGTTAAAGCTGATGAAATAAAAAGCCACAAGCTCCACTGCTTTACATTGTGCCACCATTAAGACAAGCCAACTTCATGAAGTTTTTTGGTGGTTTGATCCTGCAAGGTTTTGAAAAATGTGAAGATTTTTTTACAGAGTTTTTCACTAATAGAGCAAGTCACTTTTTGTGGGCTGAACAGCACAACAAAAAGGAAGTTTACAGCATGCTCACAGAAATCATGGGCTGGTAAGATACAAAATTTAAATAAATAACTGCAACGCTTTTGTTTCCCTCCTGAATCACTCACAGAATCTCCGTCCAGTTCTGCACATGCTACTTCTTCCTGAGCGTGAAGTTCAGTAAAACTCTAGCACTAAATTTTAAAAATCCTTCCAAAAAAATACCCTTCCAAACAAGAGCTTTGTGGCAGGGAGATGGTTTGGTTTGGAAACTGCAGATAGAAAGACAAAACTACCTGTGCAAAAAAAAAAAAAAAAAATAAAACCTAAGCCCTAAACCTTGTTCCCAGCACTTAACCAAGGTAGCTCAGGGTGGTGATTTATGCAAGAGAGATGCAGCTCTCAGGCAGCAAGAGCTGGAGAGAGCAGCAGCAGGCAGGATCACAATATTCCCCTCGTTTCCCCCAAATTGTTACATTTCTGGGCCAGCTGGGAGGTCCAGCTGGGCTCTCTCTTGTTCCTGAACCCAGAGTGGTTTCCACAACCAGAAAGGGAAGAGCTCAAGTGATGCAGAATCTGTGTGGCAAGAGAAATAGAAACCTCACCTTCGAGTTTTCAAATGGCCAAAGTTAATTTTAAAAAAGGTGAGAGTTAGAACTAAATGTGCAGTTTGCAGCCTTTGCTCACTGAGGAAAGGCCTGGGCACTGGTGTTTGCCTTCGTCACACACCCATCTCTGGTATTGGTAAACTGAATTTTGTCATACAAAAAGCCTGACCAAGATGTGAATTGCCTGTGAAAGAGGATCTGCCACAAGCAGACCCAATCTGTGCCTCATTTATTTAGGAATTTTTAAAAATCCCCATCAGACACAGTGATGCTTCATTTAATTTTATCATGTTTGGAGGCTTCTTACATTTGCCCCGTGGTTTTTTCCCACTTTACCCAGATATATAGAGCCATCCAAAAAGTCCAAATCTTTGGAGTAATTTCCCATAATTAATCACAGCTTTTGAAGTTGTTCTTTAAAAGTCCATTTAGAATTGATGCAAGCATCAAAAGCTTCAGGGTGGGAATCATGATCCAGATGAAAATAAAGGTTTTAATCTTTGAAAACAAAAATACCTCTTGAATCAAGTGCTTTGATTTCTTTACAAATGAGATAAACAGGGCAAACAGTGTGGTGGGAAGAGCTGAGAAACCCCACCCAAGGGAAGGAAATAAAGCCCTGTTTGCCATGGTAACACATTCTGAACAAGAAAATAAAATATAAATGTTGCTGAAACTCAGTAAAGAATCGTTTTAAAGGACCACAGTTCTGCTTCAGCCACTGGAACCAAATATTGCAGAGGAAATCCAAGACAGGTTGATTTCCTTGAAGATTTTTGGTCCGAATGAAGATTTTGGAGGATAACAGCGCTGCTTGGCTCAGGCCCATGGTGACAAGGTGCTGAAAGTTCTGCTGAATTGATGTCAGACAGGGCTGTAGTTTAGGCCAGTTTATTGATAAACAGCCCAGAGGTTTTTTATCAAACAGATGTAGCTGCCAGGGTGCTCCCAGCTCGACAGGGGAGCACAGCAGATTGGGAAATGCTGAGTTTTCCTCTGCCTCCACAGAGTTTGGCTGAGATAGGAGCTTGGCTGAGGAGGCAGTGGCTGAGCCCAGATAAGGGGGAGGTAATTCCAGCTGGAGAGGTAAAGCAAACAGAGGCTTTATCTTCTCCTGTATAAAAAACATTTGCTGAAATTATGCATGCAGGCTTAGGAAGGGCTTGGAAGAGAACTCCTGGACAATTTGGAGAGGCACTGCAGTTGTATGTGCAGGCCTGGAGATGGCACACCTGGATTGTGTGGCTCTGCAGGACTTGTACAATTCTTTGGGATAAAAAAAAACCCAAAACTTGAAGGATTCACTTTTCTTGTAACTACTTCTAAAATGGCAAGAAAGAAAAAAATCATTTCATACCTGCTCTGCTAATAATTACTAAATTAGGCTTTAAAACCCCCAGGGAGAACATTTCCAGCAATTATTCTAAAAAATCATTGTCTGAATCCTCCACTTCCATGTGTCATTACAAGATACCTCAGAGCTTGGCACTGACACTCCCTATCCTCCACACCACTGGGAATTTTGACATCCGTGCCACAATTCTCCCTGGTGTTTCTACAGTGAAGTGCAGGAAAAGCCTTTTGTCCTTGCAGGGTCACAAGGGGAATCCAAAAGCTCCAGAAACTATCAGCCTTTGAGTTGTTTAAACCTAGTGTGAGTAACTGTGGAGTAACACCCAGGCTGCCTCACTCAGAGCTCCTGTTCCCCCCGTGCCTGCCAAAAACAGCCATTCCAAAAAGAGGGATTTCCCAAATCAGTTTGTTTTGGCATTTCCTGCACGAATGGCACAGAGGAGAGAAAGGTTGAAGGAGTAAACAGTATCTGTCTTAAATTGAAAAAAGGAATGTGAGTAAAAATAGACACCAGTTGTGGCTCATTCAATCAGCAGTGCTCCTCGGATGGAACAAACTGTCTGATCTCTTCTTGCAATGGGATCCCTCTTACCCAGGGCAACCAGCAAGTGTTAAAAGAGGAACCCAGCTCTCTTCTTTGGCAGAAGTTATTATGCTGAACAAATTTGCAGAGGAAAAAAATAAGAAACAAAAGGTTTTTCTAGCTCCAAGAAATTACTCTTTGCTATTCTCCAGCTGGCATTATCTTCACAGCAGTGAATAGACACTATCTCTGGCTGGCCCCATATTATCTGAAAGCAAGTTAATCAGTATTTTAAATAACTAAATCTTTAACATCCTGGGAGTGTCTTGCACTTCAAAGTAATTTATTGGAGGTCTGTACAGCACATTTGGAGGGGTTTGTGGCTTGTTCAAGGCCTCATTTTTCAAATCAAACACTGCAGTGGCTATGAAATTCCGAGTCAGAATCAATTTGGCTAAATGTGTTTTGAATTATGCTCATGAACAGTTTTCATTGAAAGAAGCCAAGCCTCCCAAGTAATGATTGCTTTTTGTCACAGGTTAGAGTCACTAAAATTATAGTGCCACTGACAGCAGAAATAGAAAACATAAGGTGGAACCCTGAAATTCCACAAAATATTTTCACTTGTTTCATTCTATCCACTTTTTCTTTTTTTTCCAAATTTTCAGCCATATTTCCAAATCCCCCTTTTTAATCCACTAATAAATAAGAACAACACTCAACCACACCAGCTCTCTTCCCACCCCAGCCTCTCCCATTTTGCAGCAATTTGGAGGAGATGCAGGGACTTACAGGCAGCATTCCTGGTGTTTTTCCGGGAGCAGGCAGCCAGGCTGCAGGGCCGTGCTGGCACAGCCCTGAGGCTTTTCAGCAGCTTGGAGAGACACCCCAGGGCTGTCACCTTCACCCCACTCATCGCTGTCACCTCCAAACCTTCCCTGCTCCTCAGCAGAGCCTCCCGCAGCCTAAGAACGCATCAGCATCCGGAGAACCAAACCCCACATGGATGCAGAGCCCACCGAGGGGTCGCCAGGCTTCTTTATAAGTCATTTGGAGAGCACCCTTTGCTGGTTAAGAGGTGGAGCCAACCCAGGAGTTAATTTTCAACCTGTCCCTGCGCTGTCTTCTTCATTGGCTCTGCATTCTCTCCAGAGGCTGGCTAGTTGATGATTGTTACAATGATTGTTCCACATGTGCTTCCTAAAGGTGTTTTTTTTTCCCCCTCATCTGGTTCTAAGAACACAGGAGGTTTGACAGAAAACTCTTTGGAATGCAAGGAGAAAGTTCTTATCTCCTTGGTGCATACCTGCTGTGAATTTGAATAGTTGTATATTTGAATACTGATTGACAAGAGGCTCTGTCAGGAACAGCTGAAATGCCCCGAGCTGGGGCTCAAATTGAGGAATTCCCAAAATCCAGCAGCTAAGCAAGGCTGGGCCCAGGACAGGAAACATTTTAGCTCTGAGCATTTACTACAGCAGCATTGCAACCTCCAGGTGAGGAGCTGCAGAACAGGGGATGCCAGCAGCAGGTTTTGTCACAAAAACATCTTCTGATTTTGTGTAGACTAAAAATGGTGACAAAGACCCATAATTACTCCTCTGCTCACACTTAGGCCCAGCTGAAATTTTAGTTTGGGTAAGGACAGAGATGTTTTCCTGACCCATATTTCTCAGGGATAAGAAAAAGAATGTTACTCTCTTGCTGGTTCCAGGGGTGCTTCCAGTAACTTTGTTACCTTATGTGAAAATCCAGCCTGGAAATCTCACACAGTATTTTTCTTTACATGTTTGCTCTTCCTCCAACTGAAAAAAATCCACATCAATGGCACAAACACATCCAAGTCAGAGCTGCAATTTTTCAGGCCAAGCACAGAAAGGAATTATTCCCATAAAATTTCACAATATTTTAGATTATTACCAGCCAAATAGGAATGAAAACAGGGAGCCATTGAAGATGGAATTATCCTTTCCAAGGACAGGGAGTCAAGGATAACCCAGCACAGCCCCTGTGAGTGACAAAATGACAAATCACATCCAAGGTCTAACCCAGGAGCACAAGAAGGAGCAAAAGGAGACAGCAGCAAAGTCAAGTAGCAAAAAATATCCCAATTCCTTCCCAGAGACAGAAATAAAGACAAACCTGAAAACAAGAGCCCCAGCAGCAGAGCCGAGGCTTAAATGGGCTCCTGGCCCATCGTGGTGGGTTGAGGCTGCAGGTGAGGATTATGGGGGGGTCATTAAAATTTAATTTAAAAATCCCTCAGGCTTATGACAAAATGAAAGTATTTAACAACCCATATGATTCTTTTTCTCTGTTAAATACCTGAATGGGTATATTTCAAAAACTCCAGACTCCATCAATCATAGAGCAAGGAGTGGTAACATTCTGCTGTTAAACTCTCCTCTTTTCTTAATTCATAAATTAAGAAAATTAACCTGTGTAATATTTTTCAATGGCTTTGATTTGTGTTCTGTTGTTTTTAACAAACGGGTTTTGAATTATAAACTTTTTGGTGATATTTTCATGAACCATCTTCCTGTCTGGCATCTATTATCACACCGGGTATCAGGACAGGGCTCAGGCTCGGGGAATCCTCTTTGGTGGCCTGAAGTGGCCAGCTGAGCTGTGCTATTTATTATTCCAACCCCTCCTGTTTAGCAGAGTCTTCCTTCCTGCTTGTCATTTATTCCCTAAGCTGCCAGCACTGCCTGTATTGTGAGTTCTGAGTTCTGCCCAAAGAACTGAAACATCAACTGTTCTTCATAACTGGGTAATGCGGGTGAGGAGTGTGACTGTGCACAATGAAAATGGGCTTCTTTTTCTTCACAGAAATTAAACAAGGGAAAATTTAGAATTTTCTTGCTGTCACCCATCTGACTTTTGCTGTCAGTGCCTCCAGACTGAGCAGAGAGGATCAATAATTGAGGTTTTTTTACTAGAGCATTTCCAGCACTTAGTTGTTTTTATATTACCATTGTTCATATCAATTGTGTTCCTTGCAGAGGGAAAATCACCTCCTCACTGCAGTGTGTCCAAGGAATCTGATCCCCAGGCTTCCTGCTTGGAAGGGTGTTTCTGCCCTGCTTTGTGGATCAAACCCAGCAATTCAGCAAAAAAAACCCAGTGTTACAGCTTTACTGTAACTAGATATCATGGAAGTGATTTACTAATGAACATTTTCCTCACCTAATTATTGTCTAATTGGCAGGACACTCAGGTTATGGGAAGCTGCTTGGTAGTTTTGCTGCTGAGGAGTGGAAACCTCTATGGAGTGACTAAAAATGTCACTTATTGTGACAGGAGCCAGGCCATCCCTGGGAGGCTTTGCCCCTCATTTCCCTGAGGATTGGCTCACACTTCCCATGGCAGATTTTTACTTGAGGAAAGCTTTTTTTTTTTGATGTCCACATTTTGCTGGGACAATTCATCCAGCTGAGCTCAGCAGCCTGGGAAGCAACTCTGCTTGTGCATTGGAGTCCCCAAACAGGACAGAACATTCCAGATTCATTCCCATGAGTGCTCAGCAGGGGGAATTCCTGAGATGTGCTGGAAAGTTCTGTCTGATACAGCCCATGGACCTTCATCCCTGCCAGGGAGCACTCCAGCATCTACTGGAGAACACCTGGAATGGGAGAAAAACTCTGTCTGCAGAGCTTTGCAGTGCCCAGATTGTAGGGAAATGCAAGATTTCACCATCCCAAGGGTTGGAATTTGCCTCTGGACGAGGTTCTGGCTGACCTGGGTTGCCCCGAAGAGCAGCCCTGCCCTCCTGCCTCTGCCACGTGGAGCTGTGAGGAAACCTGCTCAGGGACATTCTGCCACCCTGGCCACAGCTGGACATCTCCACTCAGTTTATTTTACCTCTCACACCTGCAATGTTAGAGCTAAAAATAATTTTGGATGTGTCGAAATGGATGCACGTCCAGAATGAGGAGATGGTCAAATCCTGCTTAGAATCATAGAAGGATAAAATCCTCTAAAATCTGTAGAATGCCCTTCAGGCTTTGACAATACCCCCAAAAGTACTCAGATATTAATACCTGACCAAGTAAACGTGGTCTGGGGCAAATCTGAGCAGAGCTGGGCAAACCTCAGCTGTGTGGGGAGCTAAAAGGGCAGAGAAGAAGCTGTGAGAGATCCTGGAAGGTCCCAGCCAGGCAAGTGTAAACACAGGGCTTGTGCCAGGGGCTCTTTTCTCAGAAGGGAAGGAGCCTCATATAATTTGATTTTTTTCCAGGTTGTGTCCAGGGAGGTGGAGGAGTCTGTAAATAAATAAGAGAACATCAAGATCATGCCTGACCCTTCTCACCTTGTTCCTCAGGCTGGCAGAAGGGACCCTACAGGACCATGGACTTCGACCAGACTGGTGGCAAAACGTGTCACAGTTTCTCTCTCTGCTGAGGGAATGCAGGGTCTTTTCTTCCATCCCTGTTCATGAAATTTAGGAGTATTTTTATTGAAAAAAATTGAGTTTACTCAGCAGAAACCAGAATGAGATCAGAGTATTGATACAGAGGTAGCTGAAGTAGGTCCAGGAGCAAAAGCCACTTGATGCTGCCCTGTTTTGTGTCATAAACCACAGAACAATCTGAGGGGATTGAAAATGGATGTGGCATCTGAAAATTAAATAATGAGCTTCTCCTCATATGCTGCTACAGCATGTTTGCAAATAATATCAATATTCTCTTGGTTAAAGAGGTATTTTATATAACGTTTTCTTAAGCATCACTGTCACAACATAGGACAGGCTGTGGTCATAAGGGTTTGTTTCCCTTTCCAGTTACAAGAGATAGTATAGAGAAAATTAACAACCCAAGCAGAAAGAAAAGAAAAGACTAAACAGGGGAGCTTCAAGTACTCTTTTTATTTGGATGTAATTGAGGATTTTATCCTTTGGAAAGAAAATCATTCTTCCAGCAAATACTCTGGAGTGCCTTCTGTGCCCTGCTCACATCTTCCCCATCCCTTTTTCCTGTGTCCTCATGCTCAGCACTGAGGATAATTATAGATGTCTGTCACTTGTTTAAACAAAAGCTTTGTTTGGCAACCTTTATTTTTCTGCTGCAGCTGCAAAATTGTGTGCACAGTGTGTTAATTTTTTACCTTTGATGCTGTGGGAAGGGTTTTTTTCCTTAATGAAAGAAAAAAAAGGAAACCAATGAATGAGTTCCCAGTCTCTCCTGATCCACACAAAACATGTGAAAGCAGCAACTTCCTTAGAAAAGAACAGTAGATGAATGCTGAGAGCAGGGTGAAATAAACTGGATAGTTCCTGGAAGCAAATTACTCCTCATAACATGGCAAAGCACAGACATAAAATGCAAGAGTTCAGAAAAAAAAAGAGCATGAAAATGTGAGGAAATAAAACAACAAAGAAATCCCTTGTTTTATTTAGGACAATAGACTAACAGGGCAACAGGGGGTATTTTCTCCTGTAAAATCAAAAAATTAAATTATATATTAGCAGCCTGAAGTTCTCAGTTGGTTTTATATGAGGACAGGAAATTAAGAATGGATTTGATGTAGGCACTTGAGCAAATTATCGTGGTTTAAATCAAAATAAACGTTCCAGTGTATCAAGTTCTTCTTGGCATTTGCTCATAGGCAGACTTATCCCAGGGTAAAGTGAAACCCTCATTCACTAAATGGGGATTACACTGAATTTCTTTCAATTATTGCAGAAATAGTCACAGGAGCTCAGTTTTGGCAGCAGCTGAAGCTCAGGAGATTGTGAAGCACAGGAAGCAATTACCCTTTGGTCGGTCACTCACTGGTACTGGGAATCAGAGTAAAAAGCCAAATCTGGGCCTCCAGATTTAACAGAAACATCCTTTTCCTCCTGTTTTCAGTCAGACTAAGTGTTTATCATTTCTGGCTGTGCAGTCTCAAGGAAATATGAGGTAAATCATGAAAAAGGAGTCTGTCCCTGATTTATTGGTGTCATCCATAATTCAAAAAATAAATGCCTTCTGGTTTGGAAAAAAATCCAAATTAATTTCTCTGGTAAAGAGGGAAAAACTCTTCCAAGGGGTGAGGTAATTGTGGATTCTCAGCTGCTGGATCAGAGTGGATGGGCAGGAGGAGGTGCTGCAGCCTCCCTTGGGGATAAATTGTTTTATTTGTTTATTCTGCTGTTATCTCTGATCAGAGTTGCAGACATCAGTCGGATCCCGCCAGTATTTCCTGCAGTTAATTTGAGCCAAATTAACTTTGGGTAAATACCATAACTGGTTTATGACCATGACAGCTTTTGTGTTTGTGTTGGGAAATGATTCATGGCTCTCCAGAGGAGAAGCACCTCACACCTCCAGCAAACAGGAGTTAATAATCTTTGGGATGGCAAGATGATGAAAATATGAGAAAACAGGGCAGCTTTTACCCTGGGCTGGTTTAGGGTGGCAAAAGCTTTTGCCAGCAGCTCCCACAGCAGCTGGAACATGGATATTTGTATCCCTGTTTTTCCAGCTGGGACCTGCAATTGCTTGAGTCCAGCAGAAACCCTATAGCAAAACTGTTGCAGGGCAAATAGGTGCAGCAAAGCGTGAAATAATCCGGTGTGAAAAGTCAGATTCTAAGTAGTTTAACCTTTGAACTGCCTAATCTGCTTGTGAAGGGGGAGAACATGGTAAATAAATCAACAGGCTCAGCTGAGCACTCCCAAACCTGCACCAGGGAGCAATTTCCCAACACACCAGGCCTGCAGGTGTCTGGAGAACCTCCTACAGCTGAACCAGAGTGGATTCAGCTGTGTGACATGGCACTGGAGAACCCCATTAAACATCTTATTTAGGAATTTTCATTAAATTTATTTAGGGAATGTTTTAATGCAGAAGTCTGAAAGTTGCTGCTGGCTACGGTGAAGCTGAAAAGTGAAGCGTGGTTGGTCTTTATTGGGCAACACTGTGCTATATAAAGACATCAATTTGTCTAATCTTTGTCCTCTTTCACAGCCATTTGCACACGCTTCCTCCGTGCTTCTTTTTTGGAGGCTTTTTGCATATTTTTATCCTGCCCAGAAGGTTTCACGGCGCGTTCTGCACCTTCGCCCAGCCCTCCTGTTCTCACAGCACGCACAGGAGTGACAGAAGAGCGAGGCTGATGAGCCAATTTAGCAAATTCCCACTTGCTGCCTGCTGCTCAGCCTGCTCTGGGCACGGTGACGTTGCTGTCCTTAGCACGACAGTGACATCCAGGAGGAATCTGATGGAAGCAGCAGATGATGGGGAAGGTGTGAATGATTTTGGAGGTGCAGATTCCTGTTCAATCTGCCGGCTTTGCTGGCTGAGCGCTGTGGACATTGAGGGGCTGGAACGTGTCCAGGGAAGGGAACGGAGCGGGGAAGGGGATGGAGAATTCCTAAGGGAGCTGGAAAATCCTGAGGGAGATGGGAAAGGGCTGGAGAATTCCTAAGGGAGCTGGGAAGGGGCTGGAGGATCCTGAGGGATTTGGGAAGGGGCTGGAGAATTCCTGAGGGAGTGGGAAAGATGCTCAAAAATTCCTGAGGGAGATGGAAAGGGGATGGAGAATTCCTGAGGGATTTGGAAAATCCTGAGGGATCTGGGAAGGGGCTGGAGGATCCTGAGGGAGCTGGGAAGGGGCTGGAGGATCCTGAGGGATTTGGGAAGGGGCTGGAGGATCCTGAGGGATTTGGGAAGGTGCTGGAGGATCCTGAGGGATTTAGGAAGGGACTGGAGGATCCTGAGGGAGCTGAGGGGGCTCAGCCTGGAGCAAAGGAGGCTCAGGGATCCTCCTGGCCCTGCACAGCTCCTGCCAGGAGGGGACAGCCACGGGGTCGGGCTCTGCTCCTGGAACAGGGACAGAAGGAGAGGGAACGGCCTCAGGGCAGGCTCAGGGTGGGCAGCAGCAGGAATTTCCCCATGGAAAGGGGGCTCAGGGATTGGAAGTGCCCAGGGAGGGTTGGAGTGCCCATCCCTGGAGGTGTCCCAGGAACCCCTGAGGTGGCACTCAGAGCTCGGGGATGGGGACAAGGTGGGGATGGGGCACAGGGTGAATTGCACGATCCCGGAGCTCTTTTCCACCACCCTCAACGATCCCGGGATAAATCTCTGTGATTCCGTGATTCCCGGACTACACTTCCCGGCACGCCCCGCGCCACCCCCGCGCGTACTACAGGTCCCGGCGTGCTCCTGCGGGGGCGCGCGCGCTGCCCTCTGGGACTCGTAGTCCGCTCCCCCCCGCTGCGGCGCCTCGGCGGCGGGGCAAGGGCGGGGGCAGCGCGCGGGCGCGCGGCGCGTGCGCGGCGCGGGGCCGCCGGCCGGATCTCTCGCGAGGAAGGACGCCATTATCGCAGCCGCCGCACAAAACACCACGAGAACTCGGCGCCCGCCTCACACGGTAACGCGGCGCCCCCGCGGGCGGCAGCTCCGCTGCGCGCCCACCCCCCCGTCCGCACGGCCCCGCACCGGGGGCACCGCGCACACACCGCGCACACACCGCGCTCCCCCACACCCCCCCCGGGCCCTGAGCCGGCGGGGAGGGAGCGGCCGAGGCGGGGGGACCCCACTCCGCCTCACCCACCCACCCCCCCATCCCTCTCATGCATCCCCCTGTGGTTCCATACCGGGGAGAAATCCTTCCCTCAGTGAGGGTGCTGAGGCGTGCCCGGAGAAGGTGTAGCTGCCCCTGGATCCCTGGCAGTGCCCAAGGCCAGGTTGGACAGGGCTTGGAGCAGCTGGGAGATGGTGGAAGGTGTCCCTGCCGTGGCAGGGGTGGTGCGGGATGAGCTTTAAATCCCTTCCACCCAAAGGTTTGGCTCACCCCGTGCTGGGCTCGGTGTCCCGCTGTCCCCCCGGGATGTGTTTGGGGCTGGGGCTGGGCTGGGAGCGCTCCTGGGAGCAGCCCCCGTGTGCTCCTGCAGCGCCTGGCAGGGTGTGCACACCCACAGCAGCGCTGGTGGTTCCTGTCCCCTTCACAGCAGGCAGCTGTGTGACATGGAGGGCTTTAGATGGGATGTGCAGAAGGAATTCCTCCCTGTGTGCCTTTCCCTGGAGCTGCCCCTGCATCCCAAGGCCAGGCTGGACAGGGCTTGCAGCAGCCTGGGATAGTGGAAGGTGTCCCTGCCATGGCAGGGCTGGAACGAGATTTAAAATCCCTTTAAAATCCCTTCCCACCCAAACTATTCCAGGATTCTCTCAACACACTCGTATCCCTATGCCCTTATTTGCAATTCAAGTGTTGCCTCCTTTTCCTCCCTCTCCTCCCCATTTTCTTTTCTTTTTTTTTTTTTTTTTTTTTTTTTTTTTTTAAATCCATCCACAGTGGCAAGTTGTGTACTTCACCAAATATAGTCATTTTATCCTGCTATGGCACGGATAGTTTATGGATCAGTTTATTTTTGGAGCTCTCCAGGGAAGACTTTTTGAAGTAAACAAGGGTTATTAGCAACTGAGAGATTGCTTTGGTGGAAGCAGCTTTAAAATGGTATTTTGGAGTGTTTTTTGGTACTTTCTTGCCTTCTGTGTGAGGATATCTGAGGTGTGGTGCCCTATAGATTCCAATATTTCAAGAGGCAAACCTGACATCTGTGTGACTTCAAATATTTCAACCAAGATTTTAAAATATCAAACAAAAAAGTGTCTGAATTTCACAGCAGTGACTCTTGAAACAGAGGATTTTCTCTGCTAGGAAGTTTATATATATATAATTATATATTTTTAAAATAGTTGTTTATAGAAATGCACCAGAATAACAAGACTTTGATTCTGAAACCCTGAGTAAATTTCCCCACAATAAACGGAAGTAGTTTCATTTTCAGTAATAGTTGCTAGGAGGAAAGATTAATTAATTTATTGAGAGAATAAAAAGATGGAGGTTAGATTTGGGAAACATTCCATCTTCTCCAGAGGACAAAAAGATTTTATAACTTTGTTTTTTTCAGTTTATCATCTCTTCTACAGCTGGGTGTTCTGTCTGAATCACCCAGCCATGTGAAAGCTGTGTGCTTCCAGAGCAGGTGTTAATTAAGGTTCTTTTAAAGGGCTAATTGATTAATAACATCCACAGTAATTTAATAAAACCATTAAAGGTGTGCTGCTAATTAGCAATACTCACAGCTGCAGCTTCCAGAGGCACCTGCTCCAAGAAATAAGTTTGGAAAAGGCTCATTTCCTGCCTGTGCTGCTTTTACCATCTTTTTTTCTGGAATTTTGGGCAATCAGATGAGGAAAAATGAGCTTTTAGAGCTGCTGCCTGTGGATTTACCTTGGCTTGGGAAGGAGTGGTTGTGTCCCATGGGATTCACACCCAGGGAATTCCAGGGTGTTCTCCTGTTTGGAGTTTGCCTCTGAATTTTCTCTTGAGCTTCCCCCTCATCTTGTAAAACTCTGTAGGTGCAGGAACAGCACACAGCTTTATTGTGTCAGAATTCCAGGGTTTTCTTTTATCAGAATTCTAGGTTTTCCTTTATTGTGTCAGAATTCCAGGGTTTTCTTTTATTTTATCAGAATTCCAGGGTATTCCTTTATTGTGTCAGAATTCCAGGGTTTTATTTTATCAGAATTCCAGGGTTTTCCTTTATTGTGTCAGAATTCCAGGGTTTTATTTTATCAGAATTCCAGGGTTTTCCTTTATTGTGTCAGAATTCCAGGGTTTTCTTTTCTTTTATCAGAATTCTAGGGTATTCCTTTATTGTGTCAGAATTCCAGGGTTTTCTTTTATTTTATCAGAATTCCAGGGTATTCCTTTATTGTGTCAGAATTCCAGGGTTTTCATCTCTTTCCTTGGAGGAACCCTGGAACTGGAATTGCTGGGATTGAGCCACTTGTAGGAGGAGACAGAGCAAAGCCAGTGGTTGGAATTAAAACCACAAAATGTCTTTGTATGCAGAACTTTGCCAATAAAATTTTGGTCATAGGTTGATTTCCTTTAGTTTGAAACTCGATATTTAGTTATTGACAGTTGAAATAACCTTATTTTCTGCTTTATTCATACTTGTTGAAAGGTTAATTACCACTTTCCCCCCCCCCGCCCTTTCTTTCCCAAGTAAAATAAAAGGAATAAAACATCTTCACAGTCACATAAAACTTGTTTCCTTGCAGGTTTAGGTTTTTAAAGATGCTGGAAAATAGTGAATTTTGCAACCAGTTAGACTGAAAAATACAAAAGGTTTAACTTCATCACACCCTTGGTATGTGGGACTTGAAATAAAATAATTTGTGGTGGTGTCTGTTGAACAGAATCATTTGATGTTGCTTCCTGTTTGTAACCCCTGATTTAGAGCTCTGGGCTGGGGACAAGGTGGGGATGGGGCACAGGGGGAATTCCACCATCGCAGAGCTCTTTTCCACCCTCAATAATCATATGAAAATAATTCAGATTTTGAAGAGCTGCTCAGTTCGTGTTTCCCTACTGAAATGATGCTCCTCAGTTTATTTTCATTCCTATTTTTGGCAAGAATTTGAGAATCCTGCTATCTCTCTGTTATACAGCAGTGCTAAGGTCTGGTTTGGCAGCTGGAATGGTTTCTTTTCCTTGATGCCTGCAACAGGAAAATCCATTAGAAGACTTTGGACTGAGCAGGTTGTATTTGATGTTGGCTTTTCTGTTTTTTTTTTTTTTTTTTTTTTGTAGTAGCAGCAGCCTGTGCCAACACCAGGGGCTGTCCTTGTCTCCTCTGGAATTGCTGGATCAGAAACTTTTTTCCAGTGTATTGAGGACTAGCTGTGCACATATTAGGAAAAAATGAGAAAAAAACCTATAAATTATTATTATTAATCTAAAGGTAAGCTGGCAGGCCAAGAGGGAATGGCCCTAAGCTGAGGAGGGCAGGGATAAGTGGGATATTGGGAAGGAATTCCTTCCTGTGAGGATGGGGAGCCTTGGCAGAGGTGCCCAAGGCCAGGCTGGATGGGGTTTGGAGCACCCTGGGATGGTGGAAGCTGGATGAAACTAATCCTGGATGTTTGAATTTCCTGGAATATTGGAATACCCTGAGCTGGAAGGGATCATCCAGTCCAGGACATTCCCAAAATCCCACCCTGGGCATCCCTGGCAGTGCTGTCCAACCTCTCCTGGAGCTCCTCACCCTCGGGCAGTGCCCAGCACCCTCTAGGGGAAAAACCTTTGCCTAATATCCACCCTAAACCTGCCCTGGAAGTCCGTGCAGGATTTTTGGAGCTGTTCCCAATAAAAATCCTCCATCTAGTGGCTGAAAACAAGAAAACAGCAGGACAGGATTTGCTCTCTGGGCAGCTCTGCTCTCACTTTTGCTGCTTTTCAGCAAACTCTACAAATTGTGCCTGGTGTGAATGATCCCTGTCGGGAACGATCCCACCAGGATCCCGAATTGCAGCTTCTGCTTTAAGAGCTGCAATCTGCAAGCATTTAGCTCCTTCCCGGGGTGGGCTGCTGCAGTTCAAGGGGATTAAATGGCTGTAAATTGAATTCAGGCCTCTGTGTGTGTGTGCAAGCACCTGAAAGCAGAGCTGGGACACGTGTGAACATTTCCTGCCCAGCTCCTGGGGAGCAAATCCCATCCAGGCTGTGCCACAGGGGGCTGGCACATGGCACAGGAGTTTGAACAAGATCCACAGGGAATTTGGGCTGCAATTCCTGCTCTCTGTGACCACCCACTGCCATTCCTCGTGCTGGGAAGCACAGAAGGCATTCCTGGATTATTTGTTGGGTGTTGTGTTAGGATTGGTGCCAGGGTTAGGAGACTTGGGAAAAGACATCCAAGCAAAACAGTGCCTTGTACCAGGTGGAATGAAAAAAAACAAACCTAAAAAGCAAATATTTCTGAAGGGAAAACAATAAACCAACAATAATAATGGGAGCTTTTGTGGTAATACTTGAGAATTTCTCCCTGCCTGGGAGGCTTTCTACTCCAGAAAGTTTCCAGCTCCTTTATTCCTGGAGCAGACATTTCCTTTTTTTGGTTGCTAGCTGAATTTTACCACTTGCACTGGAGTCTATCACCATAATACCACTGTGAGTGATATTTATTTGATATATCCATCTCCAGAATGTTGTGGCTGGTGTTCTGGTTTTCCCAGATAGGGAATATTTCTGTCATTTTTTTGGGAGAATAGACATTTTTCCTGATCTTTAGCTGAATCAAGGTTGCTTGTCTACTATTACACTCGTTTTTAAGCTGTTAAAACGGAAATGTTTGTGTGGTTTTACTATGAAATTTAATTGAAACACAATGCTTTTCCTTGCCTTTTAAGGTGGATTGAGGATGAGGCTGACAGCCAAACAGATGCTAAGAAAAAATTATTCTCATTTGTTGTTTTGGGTAGCAAGAAGGAAGTGTAAATCTGATCTCTTCCTCCTAAAATGAGTTTTAATTCGCATTGTCAAAGGCTGCAGAGAGCTGGGGCTCAAAGGAGGCTCTT